AGTCCAATACATTCCAAAATGTACAATCAATTTTATTGATCAAGTCAATATCAACTTTAAATAAAATTGAGACAATCTTATCAAAATAAAATATTCGTCTTTATTTACCGATTGTGGGCAATAAACTTTAGATCAAATTATAAATCAAATATTTCCGTGTTTAATAACTTAAAAACTTGATTTATAATATCAAGTTGATCCATGAACAAAATGCAAGCTCAAATGAATATGAACAATTTATTGGAAAAAAGATTATTATTTTTTATTTCAAAATGTCACGAGTGCAAATAAATTTAGTGGAAGGGCTAAAACAAAACTAACACAGGCATCATAGCTTTTTGCCTACAAGCAATGGTTCCAACTTTTGCAACTCGAGAACATTTATTTCCAGATCAAGAACAACAAAAGCCAGCAGATATCCTCCATTTCCCCCCTAAAGTTCCCCTGGGTGCCTCAGAGAAATAAGGACTCACGAAATAAATGGCACAAGTCTGGCAGGGGAAAACAATCTCGTGCTCGCTGTGATATTAGCAAATACGCAATCGATTTTGCATTGGGTTTGGGTCTTGTTACCGCTGGTTTGATTCTTGGATGGACTGTAGGGTGTATGCTACCAGGCTAGTAATTTTGCAGACGTCTTTTGTGCTTGCTCAGATTTTTGTGGATATAGGTTTATGATTGAGTTTGTTCCACCTTTTATGTATGAAATCAAGATTCATCAATTTCCCATTTGTTTTCGTTGTTAGAACTTGGAATTGGATTCAATTTTGTACATATGTTATGGTGAAATGTTAGTGTACATATTTTGTACAATTTTGTACAGATTATTAGTAATTGCAGTACTAGCTAACAGTGACCTTTGCAACACCATTATTATTGGCAGCTGACCTAACTTTCAGGTGAGGTTAAGTTCAATCTCAAAATGGCCACATTAAAAATGCATTTTAGAGAGGTTAGTTTGATATCTAAAAACTGTTCAGCAATAGTCAAATCAAGAATGTGAACCCAAGCAGTTTTACTTTCTCAAACTGAGAAACCAATTAAGATTGGGTTTGAGTGCAAAGGTAGAAGGGAGCTTGATTGCCAGAGCAAGTCTTGTCCTCATGGCCTTGTTCTTCTTTACCCATTAGGTGCGTTGTCCTCGAGGTTTCGTAATCCATCCTAATGCATGCTTATTTTGTTTAAATTCAAAAACTTTACATGCTAATTTTTTGTTGCATATTAATCGTGTCTTAAATAATTTCATTGGAGAGCTTAGACTTCAATTTTGTGTTTCCTCGCAAAGCTACATTTAGATAGTTTTTTTTTTCTTTTTTTAACTAGGCTTTATGAATATCAATTTTCAAGATTGACGTTATTTCATATATCCATTCGTTTTAAGTTTTTTATGCATCTCACAATGAATCAAAAGGATTGTTCGAGATGAATATATATGATTGATTATTAGTGATATGACTTGATTAATTGCATGTCTCAAAGATATAACTTTATAGTCAAGAGACATTGTGATTATATGTTTATAGTAATACTAGTTTGCGTCTCGTGCGTTGCACGAATTTTGTATTTATTTTGATTTTATTAGCGTAAAATTTATAGATTGTACAAAAAATATTTGGAAATAAGAAATGTTTGTTTGATTATCATCTTTTGGTCGACTGTATATTTTATGTCTCGATAATTTATTTTTATTCTTATAAATAAGTATAATGAATGTTGTGATTGTATATATGTCAACGATAATTTATTTTTAATTATTTTTTGTATTTTTTGTTTAATGTAGATGAATATATATATTTTTTTATCTAATATTGCAAATAAGTTGTAAATTGAATTTTGCAAAATACTTTTCTTTAGCAACTTCAATTTGAGAGGCTAAACTTGTAGTTCAAAAATAATTCATGCCATTGTAAATTGAAAGAGAATATCAACATACACAAACATTTAAATAACAAACTTAGGTTCGCACGTAAAATAACTTGAAGTGGCACTTACTGGATGACCAACTCCCTTGTTGGTGTAAGAATTAGAACTCTAACAGCAAGCTTATTTTTCGGACGATACAACAGTTACTCCAAGATTGGTAGGGCAAAAGAATTAAAAAAAATTTAAATAAATTTTATTTGAAAGAAAAAAGAAATTTAAATAAATTGATAAAAAATTATTTAAAAAGTAAAATTTTCAATTTTAATTAAATAATATTTATATATTCTTCATTTAATTTTCATAACTTTATTTTATTTTTTACTTCTAAATAATTTTAAACGAATTTTTTTACTTATATAAGTAATTTTTACATATATTAGAAATAATTTTTGTTAATATGTTTATTTAAATTTTTTTTTACTTATAAAAATGGTCAGCACGGAGTAAGGCGGGAGGTATAGCTATATAGAAAGTTGCGTGTTACATAGATTCACACTGCTTCTCTTACACTATATATATAATATAATAATATAAGTAAATGAGTTGATTTGAAAAGGCGTGGCCATAGCGTATGAAAATGGAGAACGGAAAAGTAAAAAAAAAAAAAATTGAATAATCCTCCGTGCACTGAGACCACACTATATATAATTTTTTTAATTCTCTTTTCTTCAATTTTTTTAACCTACAAATAACTTTTTCGTTAAAACTGAAAAATTAAGTTTTATTTGGAAGAGAAAAGAATTAAAAAAGAAAAATTAATTGATTTTTTTTAAAGAAAAAAAGACTTATATGCATTTTTTAACACATACGTTTAATTTCCATTTAACTATTTTCGATTTTTATTTAGATCATTCGATGTCTCTATGATATAGTTCTCAAAATGAGTTTCGAGAGAATGTAAAATATTTATTAATTTGACTATCGTACAATCATCAACGAATTTCTAAAGTTAGCTTGTTATAAAAAATTTCGAAATAGTAATAAACTAATTGATTTTTTTAAGAAAAATGACTTATGCTTATTTTTTAACACATACGTTTAATGTCCATTTAACTATTTTTTATTTTTTTTAAAATAAGGATATAAGAAAAAAATCACTTTTATATAAAAAATAATAAAAAAATATTTTAGAAAAAGTTACTTTTAAGTAAAAAATTTGAAGAAAAAAGAATTAAAAATTTTTTTAATATTTGTTGTTCACATTATAATTTTTTTTTCAATTTATAATTCTTTTCTCTTAATAATTCCAAACAGAAACTTCAATTTCAGAATTTTTTTCTGTGTAGTTTTACGTTATAAATAATAGTTTTTTCAATTTAGAATTCTTTTTAATTTTTTTCTTCTAATTTTTTATTATTAATCAGTATTTTTTAATAGTTTGAGATAAAATTTATTTTTTTAGTAATAATTCAATATATAAAATGATGAAAAAAACATGTTCACTTCGTGCATGGAGGAAAAAACTTCCGTCATACCACATAATTTTTTTTTAGCAAAATGATGCATTGAGAAAATTGTTGCGAAAAAATAATAAATAGTAATAAAATAATTGATTTTTTTAAGAAAAAACGGCGTATACGCATTTTTAACACATACGTTTAATCTCCGTTTAACTATTTTTGATATTTATTTAGATCATCTGATATCCTTATGATATAGTTCTCAAAATGAGTTTCGAGAAAATGTAAAACATTTATCGATTCGACTATCGTACAATCGTCGACGAATTTTTAAAGTTAACTTGTTATCAAAAATTTCGAAATAGTAATAAAATAATTGATTTTTTTAAGAAAAACGACTTATGCGTATTTTTAACACATACGTTTAATATCCGTTTAACTATTTTTGATATCTATTTAGATCATTCGATGTCTCTACGATATAGTTCTCAAAATGTGTTTCGAGAGAATGTAAAACATTTATCGATTCGACTATCGTACAATCGTCGATGAATTTTTAAAGTTTGCTTGTTATCGAAAATTTTGAAATATAGTTTGAAAATGCATACTTTGACGTCTCATAACATTTGCTACGATTGACTGTTTCACGCACCGTTAACGACGTGCAATACTTTGTCGTGAGTACTTCAAAACGATATTAAGAATGTAATATTTCGACTTTGTTTGATATCCCGTAATGAACCTGAAAATGAACACAAAAATATAAGTAAAAAAAATAAAATTATTTCTTTCTTCGTGCACGGAGTCCTTCCTAATTTTTTTTTTCTTTCCTCCGTGCATGGAGAGATTACTTTTTTTTTCGTTATAATTTTACGTTATAATTTTTTTTTTCAATTTAATTTTTTTAATTCTTTTCTCTTCAAATTTTTTTACTTACAAGTAATATGTTGTAAAAAAATTTCTGTCGCATATTATTTCTATCTTTTATATATATATATATATATAAGTGATTTTTTTCTTATATCCCTACTATATATATCTATATCGGAGTGGGGAAGGAATGGAAATTGTGTGTTACAGTAAATTTGGAGGTAGTGTATAATAAAATAAAATATATATCAAGCAAACGGCGTCGTTTTTGGTCCCCAATTGAAAAAAAAAAAAAAACAAAACAAAAATGATACAGTAAAGATGGATCAAGACACTGTTACTTTCTACAGTACCTACACATTCCCCTTTTTATATAGTAGGGAAAAAAGAGTGCATATTTAATCCTATCTACATCAAGAGCAATTACCCTAATAATTTTGCCAACAAAACATCCAAGGGTTTTTGTAGAATATTTTATTTCTAGCATAACAGCATGTAGGAAAATATTATGGACAAGTAACATAAATAGTTATGATAAACTCAGCCAAAATATGATACTCAAAGAGCTTAATCCACGTAGATTTAATCCTATCTACATTGGTAGCAACTCCCCTAATAGTTCTGCCATCGAAATGAATGAGAGTTTTTGTGAAACCTTTTATTTCTGACGTAACCAGAATGTAATAAAAGATTATGAACGCGTAACGTAGATCGTTAGCCAAACTATGACACTCAAAGGGCTAAACATTCACAATTCTATCTTGTACTATTCTATACTATCAGAGTGATGGACTCAGATCACAGAGTCCTAATTGACCCACTGAAGAATCTGGGCTCATTTTTAAATCAACCTGTTTATAGCTTGACGGGCCGACACAAAACCAATCGCCATTACCCAAACCCAAATTCATCTGCCAACAATTTCGAAGCTCGCTAGAGTGGGAAGCAGAAAGGGGAAAGAGGGGAGAGAAAGATTCAATCGAAGAAGATGCCGGTGATGGAAAAGCTGAAAATGTTCGTAGTTCAAGAGCCTGTTGTCGCCGCTTCTTGCCTAATCGCTGGTGTTGGTCAGTGTTTTTACTGAATTGTGTGTATGCGTAGGTATATGAATGGTGATTTGATCCCTTTTTGTTTAGCGGCCTTGGTTGGATTTTTATAATTTATGTGTATTGCGGATAGGAATTGTGTTAAAATCGATTCAAGTCTGACTCAAAATAATTCTGTACCATTTTCGTGGTCTTAAATCTTATTACCCGGTGAAAAAGGTTAATGATAAGAGGTAAAAGTGAAGAACTTTAACATCGTAGTCCCTAAAAATTACACATTTTGAGATGGTTTTCTGATGGAAGCGTCATGGTATGCTTTGATTTGGGTCGTTGGTTATAATGATTGTCGATAGTTTTCAATTGGGTGTATTTGGTCTTCAAAATCATGTAATCTGTAAAGTTGCTTTTTTTGTTCTTGCTCCGTGCGCGAGGCTTCTAAATGAAGTACATAGCATTGGTTTTCGAGTCATGAGATTGGGCCTTAAGTTCAGTGGAAGAAAAAATGTGTGAACAGAATCTGTAAAACATTATGATTTGAGAAAATTACTACTAGTACTGTTAATGTGGTTATTATGTGGAGGTCAATAACTCACAAGATATGGAATTTGCAACAATTACAGGACTCTTCCTTCCAGCCGTGGTAAGGCCTATACTGGACTCTTTTGAATCATCCAAGCAAGTGCCTCAGCCTGCTTTAAGTGATGTGAGTGAGCTCTGTTTTTCTAATTATGCACAACCAAATTTCCCTTTCTTTCACCTTGTTGTATATCTTTTTATTTTGTTTTGTCATCAAGATCTATTGATTTTGTTGTTTCAAAAAGTGATTATGTTCATTACTGATGTTTTTAAATGACTGATATGTTATTTTTCACTCTTTTTCATTCTAAACGGCTGACCATCTTCCCTCCCAGAGTGTTGGAAAGGAGATGATATGGGCCACCAGATAAATGGTGCATTAGATTTGAACTAATGGTTTCATTATCACCTCCAATTATGAGTAAAAGTCATTTTCTGAAATATATTTTGTCCTACTTTACTTAAAGAGTTCTTTCATGATCTTTAATGAAACAACTTGGGTCTGCTCTTTGGGGCTTCTCTGGTCTTCAGTTGCTTATTCGTGCCATTAAGTGTCTTTTTTAAGCGTAAAAACTGCAAGAACAAATGTGGTTGGTCTTCAGTTTGCGAATTTGAGTTGTTTAAGATATCATAGTTATCCAAGGCAGTGAATACTATGCGTGATCATCTGGGTAAATGGAAACTCTAGAGACATTTTGTATTGTTAAAGTTTGACTTCATTGAAGGAGAGTTAGTTATAAATAAATTTCATATGTGTACCACAACTTGGGGGGTTTTGCTGTAATTGAAACTCTACCCTGCTTTTGTGAACTTCCACATTTCAAGTGATATAGATATGGTGACCTTTGATACAGACATGGTATTAACGTTTAATATCATGATTATCGACCTCTATTTCAAATTATTAGAGTTAAAAAATTGTACCTATATACTGATAGTTATTATTTGAATTTCTATCTCATTCTATTTATTTCCTGCACAAGTGCTTGAGCATATTCATATGTTATTATTTCTTTTTGATATTTCTTCCAACTATTAGAAGGGCTTTCTTAACCCCTGGCTCAAACGTACCAGCAGCGAGCTGGTTACTGCTTGAACTCACCTAAGGTATTGTGAGGAGCGTGTGTTGGGAATGTGCCTCTATCAAATGTAAAAGTGCCTGTTTCTTCTACATTTTTTTTCTTAATGGTCATCTTTCAATGTTTATAACCTGTAATGCTGCCAGAACTGTCTTTTCTAGAATAATAAATCCCTGTGAACTTGTTTCAGTAGAAGCGCTTCTTTGTATGTGGTTAGATAAATTTATGGTTTGTCGTTGCAGGTTGTTGCTGGTATGACTGGTAAAAAACAGGGATAATTTCACCAGTCTTTCTACTACTCTTTTTTCTCATTCCATTTTGATTGGAGCCGGTAATAATTTCTTCAAGTTCAGTTGACCTTCTGTTGACGAATGCTATGTTTAACACTATGCAAAAAAAAAAAACAAAATATCAATTTTATGCTACTTCCGATTGATGCAAATAACTTTTCACTTTTGTGTTTTAATCTAGACCATAAGTGTCCCTTTACTTTTCTCTGCTGTTTTCTTTCATTTGAATGAGTTTGGAACTTCGTTTTAAAGACTTGAAAGAAATGACAAGCCTATGTCGTTAGTTATGAATTTATGTAAGTTAGGATTGTTGTTGAATTTTATCTGCTCATTGCATGTATGACCGACATAATATCATCATATCTCAGGGAAGTTTGGACTGAAATTATCTGTAAGTGTATCCATCTCTGATGATTGGCTTAAATCAGAAACACGAGTACTTAAAAGTCGATAAGGAATAACCTGCATTGAAATGAAAGGGCAATTCCTACAGAAATTCAGATGGAATTCTAGGAATTCGAGGTTTTGTCCAAAAAATTCATTATCACTCAAATAACATATTCAAGCCTTCAATTTCTATATTCAAGACCTTGTAATTATAACACAAACGTACTATTTGTATATAATTTTCACATCTTGCTAACCATAGGAACAACACACTATCTAGTGGGACAACCAATGGAAAAGCACAACCTTCTGAAATAGGAACACATATTCGTAAGACTCAAATGTTGAACCCTTCTTTCTTTGGTTTTCTGCTCTTCCATGGTATAACTTGCTTGAAACCTTCATATATAGCAGCCTGCAAGCAGAAGATAATAATATTTAATTGAAGAGGCAGTTTAATGGAAAGACAATACTTGGTAGCAGATAGTACTAGATAATTTAACATAGAAGGTAATTACTTAAATTTCTTTCTCAATACTGTCAAATATACCATCCAAATATGAATTTTTTTCTTAGAAGCCATTCATATTCGATGATTAAATATTTTGTGCCCACTCTTAGATGATTCTAACCTTACTGCCTGTTGTATTGGAATCATGGAAAGGATTAGTCTACTTGTATACTTTCCATGTATATAATGGGTTACACCACCCTCACATGGAGGGGGCCCCACGCATACTAAATTATATATGAGCCCCTCTCCATGTGAGGGGGTGTAAAACATTATGTAAAAGGAAAGTGTACATGTAGCATCATTCTCATGGAAATTACATATAATTGATAAATGAAATATAATGGAAGCTTATAGGAATTAATGACACCGTAAATATTGTTCCTATGTGCTGCTACTTTTGATTAGATGATCCCATAATTGATACCATGAGGAAAACATGAAAAGAACATACCCAGAGATGAGATTTAGCTTGATAGACACTGGAAAAGCTTCCATTTCTTCTTATATTTTCCTTTTTCTCCCTTGCACTCTCATCGACTTCTCTTTTTCCACCCTTTTTTTGTCCCCAAGTTCCCAAAAATCCTCTTCCTTTGTGCTTTTTCTCTTTAAAAACCATAGTATCGAGTTCGTCTCTTTCAGGACTTGTGCTACTGGTACTGTCAAAGGAATCTCGACGTTCCCTGAAGAATCTGAAAGAAGAAAACTTCGGCCTGCTGACCACATAGGGTCCATCCAAGACTGTGGTGGGAGAGGGTGTTTTGGAATTTTTGGGGGTAGACTCCATGTATAGCCTAGGAGGGAGCTCTAAGAACTTGGGTTCTATAGTGTCAATGGGGTTGGACGGGGAATAGAGATTCGAGCAGGGCCGAGGTTTTCCTGGCTCGTCCTCCCATTTGAATGGCACAAATGCTAAAGTCTGCAGTGGTGGTGTTTCTGTGCCAGGATGCTCTGGTGACTCTGTGACTGGTATAGGCAACATTGGAAGTGGAAGCTTATATGATCTGAAATTTCGCTCTGATTCACACTCTAATCCCATGATTGTGTAGCGTATGTATGAGATAGAGAGAGAGAGAGAGAGAGAGAGAGAGCCTATGACACTAGAATATAGAACAAAGAACAACCTTAAGAAAGGATTGATCTGTCTTATAGTAGACCACGAAAAGCTTGTAGTTCACTGATCTACTCTTATTCTGAACCTCTTGACTCACCTCTGTCTGTGTGTGTGTGTGTGTGTGTGTGTGTGTGTGTGTGAGAGAGAGAGAGAGAGAGAGAGAGAGAGAGAGAGAGAGAGAGAGAGAGTTCCGAGTTTGAGTGGATTTTGTGATGTTGGTAGGTGTTTTCAAATGGTGCTTTTTGTAGATGTTGACGAGAAAAAAGCAGCAGACATCTAGATGATTATGCTTCTCTATTTCTTGATCAACTTTGACATTTATGAAAGAGGATTAATACAGCCACATATTTGCGCCTTAACTCATTTGACTTTTATTCACTGAGATTTCACACTTAATTGCATTTTGTCTGGTGAGATCATATAGTGCTTGTTTTGTAATATTTTTGAGTGTTTATAGGTTGCGAATCCCATAGAATGTGTAGATGGTAAGTTGTGGACCAAACTAAATTTGTAGATAAAAAGTATGTTCAATCAACTTAATTATATTTTAAGCTTTGTCAAGTTCACTTACCGAACAAGGTCGTAGTAAGTTAACCATAGTTCTTTTTTTCACAGAGTACAATTATCTTGCACTATTTCGACGGTTGATCAAACATAAGTTGAGCCTCTCAGTTGTAAGTAGACGATTAGTGTAAAACTCCATCACACATTAATGACAAAAAGAACTACAGAATTCCATTGGAGCAATAAAATAAAAACCGTGATTATCAAGAACAACGGCCTTAGTGGTCAAAAAGGCAGAAAGGGATTTTATTAAAATCAAAATAAAGGGAAAAAAGCAGTTTCCATGTTGTGCAATTTCAAATTAAAGATGGTGAACGCATTAAAGCATATATCTTCTGATTGTTTATTGTGGTTATTGACTTCTCTCATTGGGACACTGAATTTTAGACGTTAGAAAATAAAGCATCAAGAAATATTTGAACAAAAGAAGATTGAGTTCAATATAGAATCCCTTTTTAATTTGAAATACTATAAGCATCTTCTATTCATTCTATGGATTGTCATCATGGTGGCACATAATAGAAATGGTTTTGGTTTACGTGATGTTGATGTCTAATAAATATACAGTTAAATTTAAATTTTATCTTCAGTGAATTCTATGTTTAAGATGACAAATCAATTAAAGCCATCTAAATGCACATGATTGAGATGAATAGCATCATCCGTATTTCTCATTATCCTTGCAGTCAAACGGTTATCTTGACAATGTATATTTTGTTTTTGTCACATTCATTATTTTTAAAAATGCCACATCTATGATCTCTCTCCATTTGCTTTTCACTTTTTTGGAATTGAGTGTTAGAGAATTTAATGCTTAAACTTTTACAAATTCAAAATGTAATAATCAATCCGTTGTAAAAGTCACAACCTATGACCTATTGATCATAAAATCTATTGTAACATATTAATTTATTTAAGGGAAAATGTTATAGTTAATGAAGGTCGAGCATGAAATAAAATACAATTATGTTAGTATATTTCTTCAAGAGGATATAAATTATGGTGGCCCCAATGTTTTTGTTACACCACACCTGCCAACATTTGTTCTATATACTAATTTGATCACGCATAAAATTACAGAAGCAACCACAATAATTTTATTCTTACAACATTTCGACATCAAAACTCTCTCTCTCTCTCTCTCTCTCTCTCTCTCTCTCTCACAGAGTAAAAATTCCTCCATTTGGCAAAAATTATAATTTTTTAAATAATCAAATTTTACTTTTAAAGCACACATTTCAATGCACCCCCAAGTACTATTTACTTATCTATCGCTTATAAATTCTTTTCAACTTGAAGTTATATTAGATGATTAAAACGGAAATAACTCTCTTGAGAGCCTCTGGGTCCATAGTAGACATTGGCATACCCACATGGGGTTATTTGGGGTCAAATGACCTAATAGATCTTTGAATTTTTCTTCTTTTTTTCTTCCCCCCGCTTAAAACGTAAATTTCTGGCAAAATAGTGAGTTAACCCAATTAATTTCCCTAATCCAATGCCCAAAAAGTCCAAACCCAAATCCAATTGTAGTCACACATGGTCTTATTTTTGTTAATAATACGTTGTTCGAAAAAAATTTCATTTTTGACCTTTTCTTATTTTTATTAATAATACGTTGTTCGAAAAAAAATTTATTTTTGACCTCACAGTTCGAATTGTCTGCATCCCCCCTCGCCCCCATAGTAGTAGAAAGACTGAAAGAGACATTCTTGATCTCCAATCCTTCTTTTGAGAGAGAGAAAATATAATAATAAAATTTAAATTGAGAAATGATGATAACTTAAAATTTTGAAGTTCTTATCCAGTAGATAATTCCTTTCAGTAGTGTCATTTTGAATCCTCTTAAAAGCAATCAATCTTCATGAAAACAACCTTTGCCTCCACAATTTGGACAGTCCCACTACATTGATGAATCCTAAAAAAGTACGAACAATCTAATTATTCATTTTTATCGTTTATTTGACACAACTGACTAATTTTCTTTTTTCTTACTCATTTTCGATAACACGTTCCCCCAATAAATATTTTTCTACATAAACACACAATTTTTCCTACTTTTTTTCCAAAAATTATTTCGCTTCAAATAATGTCAGAAACTGATACTAAAGTTTCTAACAAACAAGTGTATGACTTTTACTACATATTGAGATCAGCTATCAAGAAGACAAAATCACCCTACCCTACCTCCCCATCCCACAACCATGTTTACGACTCCACCGCAAAGCTCGTTTCATACACAGTATTCTGGACGATACAATTGTAATTAATATTTCTTTACCCGTTAATCCTAGTATACTTTGTCTACTTCTGCTGCCTAATGAGCAAGCTCAGCTCCCATATTTTGTAACCCCAATTCTGAAAATTTTCTATTCTGCAAGTTTTGGCTCTGAATCTAAGCTTCTTGCAGTGCCTTCACCAGCACAAGCAGTAGAGGACAAGCATCTAGGATTCATCTTCTTCACTTCCTCACGCGAATAGATGCAAATTTTCTTTACTCTCTTACAGAACTTCCTGCAAAGAATAAGAAAAATTTAACAAGTTTTAATAGCTAATTGGACGTGACTACGAACAATTTTTGGGAAATACTCACGGCCATGGATCATCGCCGACAAGCATGACATCGCCCTCGTTGTCAGTGTAAATTATGACCCATTTATTTATCGGGCGAAGCCCCCCCTTAATCTCGAACATTTTCTCCAGCTCAGTGATAAGGTCATCATAACCTTCTAATGCACTCAAATTGACAGCACGTCCGACGGAAATCCCTTCCATTTGTACCTTCAGAATAGAATTATTCAAAAGCTAATTCGTATATGTTCATATAATATAATGAACATACCTTGGTACGGGTTCTCGTAGATGTGATGGAGATCTGCTTTCTTTGAGTATCATTAGGCAAAACCTCAAATACATGTTTTCTTTCTTCGGAGAATTTCAAAACATCCCTATTGTTCATCGTATCAACACCATTAGCACATTTTGAAGTGATATTTGGAACTGTCACTTCCTTCTCGACCCGCGAAATATTGTTTGCATTATTCCTTAAATCAATGCCAAATAAACGACATGCTGAAGTAGTCTCGACCTTCTTACTTTTATCAACTTGATCAAGAAAATGATCCTTATCTGTCCTTGATGAGACGGGAGAGTTATAATCAGAAAGAATAGATAGTACAGATGCATTTTTACTGTATTCTGATTCGCGAAACAGGTTTGGAGAATCATTCCTGACAGAAGTAGGTGCCCACATTCCCCAAGACGATGTAGTAGTATTAGTAGTTCCTACAATGCAATTGAAATGATAAGTTAATACCTAAAGCTCTGCATTTTGGTACGCTCAAAAGATGTTGAAAAATAATATTATATACCTGATGGATGCCGATCAAGAAGTCGAGGTATTTTGTTCTTTGTAGCAGGTTGTGCGATGTCAATAGAAGCAGAAGCAACAAACGGCTCTATCTCCCATGGCGAGACCCTCTGTGACCACCGCTCGGTTCCAGGTTCATCCCATTGTATCTAAAATGAACAATAATTTGGAAAGGAATTATTAATAAAATGATCCGACAATAGTAACGATTAGACATGCTAGATAAACTCAAACACTGTTGCTAACCTTCAAAGACCGCCAGTTAGAATCTTTCCAATGTGGTGAGATATCTCCAACACCAATTATGGTGCCAGTCGACCTGAAAAGACATCAATTGAATCGATAACGAAATTATGCAAGTTTCATTGTTTCAAAGTCGAAAGACAAAACAAGGAAGAAAATGAACAACGAACCTTTTCTCACGAGATTCTACTTCTTTGAATCTCATCTTAAAATGCATGCCCACAGTAAATTTATGTCGTACAGCCTCTAAATATTTGTTCATCCCAATGATGAATTGGCTTGCCCTGATACATCATATTGATGATTTGGTAGATTATGTTTAAATAAGAGTAGATAGATTTCTTTAATTTTTTTCCCAAGGTGATTGCCGTACCTTGGCTTGTAATACACCACAAATAGTGTTTTTGTGGTAATGGCATGCGATGCAGAAGCAAGAACTCCAAGATGCATGCTTTCGCTGGAAATAATAGAAGGCGGGATGGGGCTTTGCTGTCGAGCTAGACGCCGAACACCGACTCTTAATTCTCCATTATCACCGCTGCAAATCAGTGGTTGTAATTCAAATTATAACAAGCAAAATGCACTGATAGCAAAAGCAGAAAGCCATAACTTAACTGATAAGGAAGCAAAAATTACCTCAAGAAAACGAAAGCATCGCCTGCAACTAATCTCTTAGAGGCGACAAATGTGCTCCAGCCCGTTGTCAGTAAGTGTCTCCGTGGTTGACCTGATCATATCATGATGATCCTTTGAGTATACATTTTGATGCAAAACTCTGACTTCTATTTTTGAATTGCTGAAAGAATACAGAAAACGTAGGTTCCACAATAATACAATGCAAAAATATCAGAATTGTTACCTCTGAATATATGCCTAAATCGCCACTCATAACCATGAAGATCCTTTGCAACCAAATCCTGGCTCGGGGTTGCTTGAGTCATATCCTTGAGGATTAACAATAACGCATCACATATCAGAACATGTAACAGACCTGATACAGTAAGCTTTGAACAGCATATGACAACCAAGGACTAAGGATGAAAACAAACAACAAACTAAGCCTTACTCCTAATAGATTTAGGATCGGCTACACGTATGGTTCTTCACCATGCTGCTATGTCCATTGCTATCCATACCCTAAGCTTTGAATGGTATAAAGAAGTAAAGAACCACCAATAGCTGAAGAAGGAAAAAAAAAACCTATTGTTTGAGCCCCTTTTTTCCATTAAAACACATTCTTCAACAGCGATTTAACCTCATTTCAACTACATATTTTTAATAAAATAATATTACACGTAAATCCAAAATTTTTCCTTATTTTTTTAACCACACATTCTCCATCATAACACTATTTCAAAATGAATTTTTTGAAAAATAAAAAAAATGGGGCTCAAACAACCATTAACCCTGCCATTCTCTGTTTATTACCAGAGCTACCGAGAGATTTAAAGAAACTAGGCCTTGTAACTACAAATATGACATGTTAAGTAATTGGTAACTAAATTACCCTCGTAATTATTTGGTTAATATTCTTCTTCCTTATGCACCTTTTGTAATAACAAAAGATTGAAAAGAAATTCCTTACCAATGGAGGGAGACATTCATTGGCGTCCCTTCGAAGAATCGAGAGCCCTCCATGTGTACTTCTGTCAGATGCCGTCAAAATCTTACAAAAAGAGCGAACATTTTGCTTTGGTGGATCAGGAGGGCATGGATCAGGACTCGTGGGCTCAGTTTGCTACGAGAAAGACAATACAAGATTCATTCGATACATAAATCACATAAAAACCTTAAGTTCTAAATAACAAGAATAGCAATGCATACAGATGTCAACTTCTTGCTACTGTTACTGAAGTTCTTCTTCATCCACACAAGATATACCGATATGCCACATTTTTTTCCAAAGTAGGAGTTAACATAGACACGAGGTTGAAAATAAAAATGCTAATTGCTTACGTCTGGTTCAGGGTGTAATGTGATCTGGGTGTAAACTTCATCTGTTTCAGGTTCAGCCTATCAATAATTGAAGCCAACAAAATTAAAACTGGCGAACAAATCTTTCAAGAAATAAGCAAGAAGGTTTGGGTAAGTGGAAACAAACCAGATATCAGAAATGAGAAAATACCCGTAATTGAATATGAAAAACATGACAAAGGATCTTTGAGGGAAGATTGAACCTTGGGATTTGTTTATTCGACTCTTGATTAGTAGATGCCTGCAACTGTACATCATAACATGTTTTTATCAAACTGCAATTCTAATTAAGGAAATATTCTCTAATGAGGGTAAAGAAAAGCCCTACTTGTTCTAAGTGACCCTGAGGAAAATAGTAAACTCTTTCTCCAGTACAAGGAACATTCACCATAGGTCCTGCACAAGCCTTCCATAGAGCTGTATACAAATCACCACTTTCTACACCAGTCGAAGACAAATCGACCCGAGGAAATATAAGAATATGGGATTCAAAATTCACAATTCACAATTTGACACTCAAAAATGAAGCGAAAATGGCTGATACAGAGCCCAGAAAATTCAAATAATTTAACAGATTAACACTAAAGAGAGAAACCATATGAAGAATTTGCTTCTTCAACTGCTGATCGGTGAATTCTGTAACAAGAATTTTAAAAGTTATGCTTGAAGATAATTTGAACAAATCAGTACAAAAAGCATTGCTAATAACTGAAAATAAAATGATTCTAAAAGGAGGGTTAACTAGAAAACTCATAAAAATGTAAAATTTGAAGATGAACATCAAATATGTTTATCCTAATATTCTAACAGAAAATAACCTTAAAAATCACCAAATAAAAAAAAAAAAGTATTCTTCTACCTGCATTTTGAGAGTTTGCCATCGTTTGAAGCTGCCAAAGCTCACAACAGAAAGAAGAAAGATGTTGGGAGTTGTTTCCAATCACTTCAACCTACCCAATTTTACATCATCATAATCTATAATCCCAATAAAACCCACTCTTTATTAAAAACTCTTAATTATCCCTCTCTCTCTCTCTCTCTCTCTCTCTCTCTGTGTATATATAAATGTGTACAAGTGTGTAACAGATTCCAAGGATGTAATAACTAGTTAGTAAATTGTAATGGAGGAAGAGGCTGCCTTTTTACCTTCTCTTTTTCCCCCTCGATTTTCAGGTACGAAACCGCTCTTGGCTTCTATATACATGTATAGCTGAGGTTATAATTTCATCACCCTTCATTTAACCAATTATTTAATATCGCATTGCTGCACATAGAGTGAAGTTATATTCACATTAAACTAGATAGCATTATTCATATTATAAACAAAAATGTATGTGTATGTAATATTTCACACATACAGACATCCCTTTCTCTCACTGTCTATACATACACATATGATACACGCATTTCTCTCCTTTCTTTGTTGCCACACGTTTTTAGTTCTCTCTCTTTCCTGGAGAGTTACACGTGCACACGACAAACACGACCCTTTATATCGTCCTCACTGAGATATTTTTCTACTCTTTCAATCTTGTCTCAGTGTCAAGTTCCATGTCTGATAAAATTCCCAACCTTTTTTTCTAAAAGAATAACTTTTCATAAAATCTATCCTAAAAAAATTGCATCAAACAAGACTTATATTGATGGATAATTTTTATTTTATTTTATTTTTTTTGGAAAAAGAATTTTTCTTTTGTTATTATATGCAAAAGAATTAATTTATGATGCCAAAACCAAAAGGCTTGTGTAAATATGACATTTTTTTATTTGGGTCCATATATGATATGATTCAATGTTTTTATCTTTGAATTTTGCTATTTAGGTTGTACGTAATGATTCTCGTAAACACTATGCCTTGTGTAACTTGCGACTTACTAACTTTTATTAATTTCAAAACATACAATTTGTGTTGAATCTAAATGCTTGACATACTCGTAATTAATGAGCTTATTTATAAAGACAATTGTGAGGTTGATACAGTGATACCCTAAACAATCTTCTCACTTTCGAGCACAATTTAAGTAAATAATTAAATAATATATCTTTATAGACATGCATAACGTTATATTTAGTAAATTTAATTCGACGAAAGTTGATTTTTGCGTACTTTCTTATTACATTGATGCTACTCAAGTAGGGCACGTGGTCTTGTTTGAGTAGCGTCACTCTTCTTATTAATTAAGTTAATATTTAATTATTTATAAATGAATGATAATATGTAATATCAACCTCCCTTCGGCTTTAAAGATGGTCAATATAATAGGATAATGAAAAGAAAAACTTCGGAATTTATAGAAACGGACAATCTTAATTGAGTTTATATCATTGAGAAAATCAATTATCTCATTTTATAGTATAAATTTTAAATATTAGTAATCTAAATGAAAGAATTGAAGTGTCAACATTCCATTAATCTGTCTTGTCCAATGCTAGGACAATATTCTTTTCCCAGCTATCAAAGGCAAGACAAAGTTTTCTACTTTATCTCTACAGACACATTGTCCTAATTCTCAAATATTTACTAAGAATATCGAAACAGACCAAGAATTCAACTAACAATAATAATGTTTGGATTGTGATCATAGTTGTATATGATTTTTACGTGACAAATTAAGAATAATTGCAAGTAATTGTGATTTAGAACATAATTACAAATATAACCTTGATTGTAATTTCTTTTACATTTTCATTGTTGAAACTTGATATTAATTTATCCAAAATGAAATTTAGAAGAATTGAGAATAAAATATAGAACATTCTATGGAAGGATATAATTAAAATTTTCATTGCATAATAATATTACTCACAACTCAATAAATAAACTAAGGGCACGCTTGGCATAGTTCTTGTTTTTGCTTTTGCATCTTATAGAAGAATTTTTGAAAAAAACTATCTTAATTTTTGTTTGAAAACTAAAATTTAAAAATACTTTCAATTTCGAAAGTGCTTTTAGAGGAAGTCACAATAGATCAACTTTCTCTAAAAACTCTTTTAACTATCGAAAGTACTTCAACAAAACTAGTCAAATGGATCCAAAAACAGGTTTCGAGTGCTCAAAGCTTCTTTTGACTTTTCAAAAGTCATGTCAAATGTACCCTAATTCAAACGTGATCTTTAAGAATTTCGATGTCCTTCATTTACACATAATTGAGGGTAGAGAGTATTTGAAGACTCAACTTTACACTAATGGCTTTACAACAAAGAGAAGAATTGATACCAACTTTGCATATTGTAAAAATTAAAACAATCAACTTGCGTTCTTTTAAATGGTATCAACTGCCATAATTACTAACTAATTTCTATGATAAGATACATGAAAATCGATTCAATATAAGCTAAAGTTAAATATAAATGTCAAACATTGCACAGTTTCGATAGGAATATGCTTTTCTCTATATGATAACATATATAATAAAAACTTCATCCAAAAGCAATACAAATTTTGATTGTAAAATTGTTTTTCATCGCCAAAAAATTTGATTTCACGCTGAGCTCACTTCTACGTGGATTCTACAATCAACAAGATATAAAATATTAAGATTGGCTCTTACATCTCCTAGAAGTTTAAATTCTCCTACAAAGACCAAGAGAAGTGATTATTAATATTGAATTGATTATTAACCTAATAAATGGATGATCTATTTGGGCTAACAACATTTCACGACACACTGAGTAATTTCTCAAAATTCATATTTCAAAGTTAGGACCGTTTGGTGAGTGTGGAATTGAAAATTGCCTCTTGCAGGCCCTTTTTCTATAATATTATCGATTACCTTTTTTTTTTATTAATTTATAACTATAGATATCCAAATCAGTTTACGCACATCTCAACTAATCTCACGAGATCCTAAAGTTTACAGCCGAATACTCACCTCAGTGAGGGACTCGCTTGACCACTGAACTATCCCTCGGGGTTATATTATCGATTACTATTTTTTTTTTCCATCTAAAGTCTTGGTACCTTGTGAGAATCTTTAATTCATACACTATTTTGGTTATTACATTACTCCTTTCATCGAGTCCTTTTAAAGCCAATCTAAATGTGTTTAATTCATATTTTGACCCTCACGTTATTTGTTAGCCCAATCCACCAACTCTAGTCCCCTATTAGTATTGGCGCACACATTTGCTAATCGAACCTTAGAATAAGAATCCTCGTATAAACCAAATATAAAGCGAACATAGCAATGAAAATGGAAGTAGAGATACAATTAACCTTCATGACAACTCCAGAAAATATAGTTTCGATAGCAAACGTCAATCTGTCGATATCTTTCTCAATCCCCTCAAAAAACACAGCCTTCTATTACGTGCCGTATTGGCCCCACAACAAGCCATCAATATTCAAGCAAACTCAACAGACACTGTGATTTATCATAATGTAATGCTGGTCGACTGTACCCAGGCAGGACTTAACATCCGAAGACCGAAAATGTACAAATGCATGATGATACCCTTTGCCAATTGTTTCAACTTCAGAATCCTACATTATCAAAAACTGTAAAACATCATTATAATATTGTTCCTGGAAGAAAGACCGTGCATGTAATGTATGTAGTTAATGTATACAAAATCAAAAAGATAAGAGAAATGTTTGGAAAAGGGAGTAGCAGCAGCACCATGGATTCATGAAAATTAACTAAAGGTAGGACGACGCATTTCAAGACTTGAGAAAATGATGTACAAAGCTGCGAAACGAAACTAAAAAATAAGATTAAGGGCCTGCATGGGTGTTCTTTTATGACCTGTTTTAGGTGGCACCATTTATGAGAGAGAAAAACAGGTGCTTGCTAGTTTTTATTTTTTTGGATGGTTTAAAAACCACCCAAAATTGGTGTGTAGTGTAATTTTGACGAGCCTTTTCTCACTCTCTTCTAATTTTACCCTTCATAAAATGATTATTTCCAACCAACATATTTTGTTCAAAACTAATTTGTAAATAAAAATATTAACTAAAAAAATTATTTATAAGCAACAAAATTACATTATAGTTAAAAAATTAATTATAAGTAAAATATTACTTCTAAGATAAAAAATCACTTTTATATAAAAATTTGTTAATAAAGTAAAAATACTACTAATAAGATAACAAATACTAACTTAAAATTTTAAGTAAATATTTAACTTTTTAATTTAAATATTAACTTATATATAAAATATTACCTATAAGTAAATTATCACTTGAGTATATATAAAAATAAATAAATAAAAATCATACAAGAAACTTTAAAAGGAAAATTTCACAGAGAAATACAAGTAATTTTATTCTTTTAAAAAACTTTCAAAACCAATGAATAATAAACTTCGAGTATAAGTTGAAACTGTTTCAAAAACAACTGCTAAAATCATTCAAAATCGATCAATTCATAAACGCACAAAATCGGTACTTTAACAAAAACTCATAAGTCATAACGGGTCCCAAGCAGGCCCTAAATCTAAAGAATCATAGCTCACAATGTGCATTTACAATTGAAATCCAACATAATAAGTAGGAGAAAATGAAAGTTCACTTTGAGCTATCAAATAAATACAGGACACATGGGGCAGATTGCTGGAATAAAAGCCACAATGACTTGCCTAGTTGCCTTTGTACCATAAAAATGTGGCCGCCATCTGTTTTTCTAAGACAAATCATGATGAATATGCAAGTATCCTAGCAATAAAAATCTACTATATAAATAATGAAGAGCGTCTAACTTAGCAGTACAAAAATATTACCATCTAGGATAATATCAAACATTTCATGGGTGAAAACAGAAATTTATAAAATGTTTCAATGGAAAATCACAACAATCCTATTATTAGAACTAAAATATTTTTCCTTATCTTTTACTCACCCTGCTGATATTGCAGTCGAATTCAATTCAGTTTAGAGTTAGAATATCTGACATCCTGATGCATTTTGTGCATCAAAAATCTAATATAATATAATAACAAAACACCATTTTGACATTGAAAAGAAGGAGCATAAAATGCTAATCACATCTAGATTAATATAAGTAAAATTTTGTTTAGCAAATCCACCAAATTTAATGAATCATAATATCATATTTTACAACTGTCATGCTACATCAACAAACTTTATCGCAATGATAATGCAAGGAACAGTGAGATGAAGATCAATATCTATTTGCCAGAGTGCCTTTTATTCATTCAACTTAGTCATCACCCTGTCCTCGAACAAGTACAATTTGCTCTCAAGACAAACCTAACCATTGTAGTCAAATCTTATTCTCATTTTTATGTCACTTCCCTTTTTTTTTTAATGGACAGGGGCATTGAATAAGCAAACCTTACATATGTTTAAAATATCCTTTGATTGGAAAAGTGAGTGCATGGCGAACAAGAAATTTGAAGCTTTTGAACATTGGGCCAAAATATTTTGTTTGTCCCCTAAGATGATTTTTTTTTTTTTTTTTTTAATTCCAATAGTAATGGGCAAGAATATAATGTCAATTTTATTTTATTTTTTAGATTCCAATAGGAAGAGATTTATAAAATATGTGAACTCTACTAGTTTCTCACATGATTCTCAGCTGAAAATCTGTTGTTAGAGCATGTGGCAATTATCACAGCACAGTCGATGCCCATAGTAGCTATCACAGCATGCAACTTCAATAATACCTTTTCAATATGATATGACATCATTTTATCTTCTAATTTTTAGGAGTTTATTTTGAAACATTATTTTAAAAGATATCACCTTTAAACAATAAGAAACATGATCACCATTGCATTGGTCAAATGAATATTGCAGGACATATCTCTACCCAGAATGCTTGACTTCTTAGCAACAAACCAAGAATACAATAATTCATCACAGGATCTACGATAATCAGATTGGTCTTTGCAATGTTAATGCACGTAGAGGCAAAAAAGAACTGACAAGGCGAGGTATCGGATAGTAATGCAAACCTACAATATGTATGTCCAAAAACATGCAGCTCAAAGGTAAAAACGAGTAATGATACACATCATAGTTAATAGTAAATTTAACTTTTCCCCTTTTTAGTGCATGGTCAATTGATTCCATAAACACTATTCTAAGCCACCTCAATTTTAACAAAACAGTTAAAAAATATATGTTAATACCTCATAAACAAACAATAAATGCAAAGAAGTAACAGATGAAACAACAAAACTTACCATAAAACGGCTAGTTTCTTAAACTATGGTAAGATTGTAAGAGTTGCAAAGTTGAAGTAATGCAGCTTGATTTGCCGGCTCAAGATTTTCATTAATGATCCGCGGGTATGTTCCAGGTGAATGAGCAGAAAGATTTGCCAAAGATGCAACCAAAAATTGCTTTGGATCGTTGATTTCTGGCAGAGGATCCTCTTCTCTCCTCCCAGCATTGTACAGGTTAACGTAAGTGGTATTATAACCCACAGTCTCACCAAAATCTGGAACATCAGTCTCCTCTTCCACTCTTTCCTGTTCTGGGCATGATAGAAGAGTAACAATGCTGTCCAGCATTTTCCCCCAAAGCTTGGAATCCGATGGCGTCACTGATTCACATATAAGTCTGGCAGAAGCAACTGAAGTTAATTTAAGCTCAAGTGAACCTGTGATCAGCTTGAGATTGGGTATCCAAAACTGCTCTAAAATTGTACGTGTGGCAAGAGAGACAACCAAATAGATAGCACAGTCCTTGTGTTTCCAATTTGCAGCTGGATTCTCAGAAAATGAGGCCAAAAGCAACTGTATCTGAGCTGCTACCTTCTCAGTGACATTCTCCTTGTAATTCATAGCAATCCCCTTAAGAAGTTCACAAGCAATTCTCCTTCTCGTGTCAAGATCACTCCCTTCCATATCCCTTCTTATGAACTCTACATAATTCATCTCAACAGCATTCATCGAGCCTACAAGGTTTTGAGAACCATGCTTGACCAGAAAAAGTGACATAAATATCACAAGAGATTTGATATACTTCACTGTTCTGTTATGCTGGAGCCGATTAAACAGAGCAACCCAAATGTGGCTAATGTAGGCTGAGATCACATCATACCCAAGGTTCTCAATCACGGTGTTTAGCACATAAAATCCTTGTTCATCAGAATGAGGAGACAAAACTAATGTATTGAATATACCAAGGACATTAGATAATCTCCCTTGCTGGTTCAGCTCATGTGGAGCCTTTCTAAGGAATGCTTGAAGCAAACGCACAAGGGCAGGGACATTTGCAGACTTTTTCCATGATTCGGGTAAAAGAAGTATTGCAAAGATCTCCATATAATTCCCAGGCAAAGGAGGCCGATTCAAGTCAACAAGCTGAGCTAGCAGCTGGAATGCATAAGGAAAGAACTCTGTCACATCTCTAGATAAGATCATCTGCAGGCTGGGGAGAAGGCTTGTTTCAAACGCAGATATGAGAGATGGATCCTGCTCACAGGCCCGTCTGACAAGAAGAGCCACAGATTCAAACAGATAGTGGTTAAAAATAGGATTCTTTGGGTTCTCACAGACTTTATTCAGAACAGTTGTCAGGCCATTGATGCAAGGTAAAGCAACGTCACGAGAAACATTAGCAACCCCAAGAACTCTCATTATACACTTCATCACATACTGATTCTCCTCAGATTCTGACTTCTGTAAAGCATTAAAAAGGTTTGTCATCAAGACAAGCAAAAATGGACCAATGTCCATTGCTGAGTATCTCGCCCTTCCACTTTCATCTTTGACCATCAACAGTTTCTCAATACAGCTGGCAGCATAAGAATGGACCACATTCGACTCTGAACCAAGGAAGCGAACAACATCAGGTAGCAAAGCCATTGCAATAGGTTTGGAGATCTGATTCCTAAACATGGTGAAAAACTTCAATGCACCAGCCTTCAACATAGGAAACCCGTCCACATCCTGACTTTGCAGCTCTGGCACAATGACAGACCCAAAAAAGCTTTCAACATTAACAAGATCAGTGGAAACAGAACTTCCGCTTGCCTTCTTTGTGGCAAGAGAGACAACCAAATAGATAGCACAGTCCTTGTGTTTCCAATTTGCAGCTGGATTCTCAGAAAATGAGGCCAAAAGCAACTGTATCTGAGCTGCTACCTTCTCAGTGACATTCTCCTTGTAATTCATAGCAATCCCCTTAAGAAGTTCACAAGCAATTCTCCTTCTCGTGTCAAGATCACTCCCTTCCATATCCCTTCTTATGAACTCTACATAATTCATCTCAAACAACTCCTCATCCTCATCCCTTAGCATCACATTAGGAATCACGATACTCTGACAAATCTGCTGCAAAATGTCATCCCTAGCAAACAAAGTATGGTGAACGCTAGCACTAACAATGGTCAAAAACTTAATAGCAGTTACAGTTAACCTTTCCCGACTAGAAGCAGCAGATGCAACCACCAAAAGAGCCCACACTGCCTCCACAAAACCACTCAAATATTTCTGAAACAAGTCCTCTTCTTTCTCCATATAGAGACTAATATTCTCACATACAGCAGCTCGTAACTCATCGACCAACGCAAGCCCATCATTTCCACTGTCCTCGAGAGCAGGGTACTTTACAGTCAAATATTTCTTGAACTCAATCATCCACTCTTCCATATGGTCCTCAAAAAACTCGGGCAACTCCATAAAATTCAGGGAATAAAATATCCTACAACACAACCTCTGAGACTCTATGTAGGGCTTAAGGGAATTTGCATTAGCAGCACCAGATGTACTTACCTGATCTAACAAACTTGCAGTACGTTTAAATACTTCCAACAATGGTTTTGCAAAGTTATCAAGACAATATTTCAAATCAAGCAACAACTCATTGGTCTTAAACTGATACCTAAATTTCTTAAACAACGAATTAATGGTTGTCAAAACCCCACTTACAGAAACATAATCATTGGCCTGGCTTAACCCATCGAGAGTCTGGACAAGCTCCGGCAATAACGTAGGCCAAGCTTTGGGGAAATCATGTTTCCCAATTATGGCCAGGGCTTCACTGAGCTGTGCTTGGATTTTGGGGGACGAATTCACCATTAGAGTTACAATTAACGATTTGATTTGCTCCTTTTCTGGGTCAGGAATAGTGTGGGTTTGAGCAATGGACGGATCAGTGGTATGCGGGGCCCAGCGCGCCTTGAGGGTGTTCTTGAAGTTGACTGCAGCAGACTGACGGATCTGCTCGTCCACGGAGGGTTCAGCAACAAGCCGGAGCACTGCAAGGCCGTAATTAGGCTTATCGGTAGCCTCTGCCAGCGCCGCCTCTGCACGGCGGCGGGGCTCAGGGAGTGGGGATAGGGTGTTGAGGAAACATTGTGATAGAAATTGTAAGGTCTCAGGGTTCCACTCCATTTTTATCTCAACTTCACTGCCTGAGTGCCAATTTTAGAATTAGGGTTTTAGTGAAATATTAAAGGTATTACTTAAATCAAATTACAGCTACAGATTTGATTGTACGTATTTATTCTGCAAATATGATGAAGATATATGCGAGTGTAAGAAAATGTAGAGAGAGAAAGTGAAGATTACCTGAGATATAGAGAGAGACGAATTTGCTCACACGCACTGAAAATTTGAACAAGAGGGTGAAAAGGAGGGATGTAGAGAGAACGACATGCTGTTGAGTAGTAGTATAGATTTATGGGCCTAAAACTTGAAATGGATTGGGCTTCAAAATTAGCCCATTGAGCTATTGCATTACTATGTGAATGTGAAAATTATACCAATACATGGTTTTTAAATTCTCAATTCAAAAATCAGATCGAAATTTTTTTTGCTCAAAAATCAGATAATTTAAATTTCATAATATTATAAAATTAAATTAATTTAACTCAACAAACATGCACATACCTACTCCTACACCCATCCCCATCCCCATCCCCATCCCCATCCCCAACCTTACATAACCCTAATTCATCTTTTACTTTTTCATTTTCCATGCCACACTCACCCAATACCCAACATTGGTGATAGGAGCATCACCAGTGACAGACGCATCAATTGTGCAATCTGTTTTCTGTCATCGCGATCTCTTTTATTTTTTCGTCTTCTGCATCTGTTGTTTGTCGTTCACAAGCATTGTTGCTCACATTTTGCAGCAGCTGTGCGCGAGCGGTGTTGATGGTGGCGTTGGTGGTGCAGAGGCGATGTTGGTGGTTCATATAAGAGTAGGCAGTGCTATTTGGGTGTTGGCATTATGGTGGTAGTGGCGTTGGCATTGGTGTTTTGTGGTGGTGTTGGCATTGGTGTTTTGTGGTGGTGTTGGCATTGGTGTTTTATGGTGGTGTTGTTATTATAGTGGTAATGGCTGTGGTGGCGACGACGATAACAATTGGGTGGTAGCATGGTGGTGGTGGAGGGGGACGAAAAGTTTGCAATCAATTATTGAGGTGTTGTTACTAATAAATTTATGAGAAGTAAATAATATGTGACCTAGAAGAATGTGTAATTGTAACTAAATTTGAAAATGTGACTCAGAATTTGGTAAGTTGTAACAAATTAATTCTATAATCTGTGATTCAAAAATAATTTATGATCAAATAATTTGATAACTTGTGATTAAAAAATGATCCCCGGCTTATAGTTTTTGATTTGTAATCGAAAAATAAGTTGTAATCAAAAATTAATTTATGACTAATTGATTAGATATTTTGTGATCGTTAAATAAGTTGCGACTTGTAAAATTTGTAACCAATAAATAATAAGTGACTATTGATTTGATAAATTTATGATCAATGAATAAGTTGTGACATATAAAACTTTTTATTTGTAATCGTGAAACAATTTGATACCTATAGAATTGTGACCTTAATATATTTAATTAATAAAATATATGCTTAATTAATTAGTTTATAAATAATTTTTTTTTAAATCTGATTTTTTATATTTTCAATTTTTTTTTTTTAAATGTGTGATACTTAAATTTTTTTCCATGTAAATACGCTTATTTTCTCTATACATTTTGTAATGGCAGAGCTAGATGGACTAACATGGCACATGTTTTTAAGTTAAATGACCAAAAAATTGTATTTTAAAGTTTAGAGACCTTTTGGTGCACGCTTTTAAGGAGCAGCTAGGTTTTTTTGAAACGAAATTAATTGCGATCATAAGTAATTTTGTGTGCCAACATATCATTTTCGTGAGCTGGAGATGCACAGACAGACTGGGAGGACTAATTGGGTATAAGTTGTTATGTTGAAGGACTAAAAATTTTAAGTTATAAAGTTTAGGGACTTTTTTGTGCGCCATTTATTGCCATCTTTTCTGTAATTAGGCGCATTGACTCGAACATACGATTGAGTAATATGTCTATGAATTGGAAAATGTCTTTTTGTTAGAAGTGATAAGAGAAAAATGCTTCTTACATCAACTTTAGTTTATTGTTGGTAGCTTAAATGACACCAAATAATTTTGAAACCATTTAATTCACAGATTAAATCTCATCTGCTTGAGTGAAGAAAGAAAATCCTTATGTACTTTAGGGTTAAATTGAAATCTACTTATCTATTTTCTCTGATTTGGATTCTTGTTTCTGACTATGGGGTGGAATTAGGGCTTGTGAGATTCATAAAGCTCAAAAACTTATTTTGGTATGTAGTCTAATCTTTTGCTTTATAAGCATGGACCTGAATATGCTGAGCAAAAGGTTCAAGGTCTCTCCTATGTGAGAATTTTGATAGGTTTTACTGACTTATTTAACATCAGTAGTACTTGACACGGGCCTAGTTTCAACACCCTCTAGCCATGAATACTCCAATTTTGCTCGTGTTACCTTAATGTCATTTCATGAAATTGTCGAGTCTTGAACCAAAGTTCTATCTGGAGGCCTTTGAATCAGCAAGTAGACAAATGGATTCTTTATATAAAAATAAAGCGAGTTCGAGTAGCTAATACCTAAAGAAACTTTATGCAGATGTTAGTGGCTTTATTAGATAAAAGGGCGTGATACTCGATTTGATTCCTCTATTTTAAAGCCACGTAAGTGGCATAGCTATGCAGAGAGTTGGAACAATTTTTTTTACAAGGTGATTTTAGAAGAAATCATCTTCATGAGACAAATTGAGGGTTTTGTCAAACCTGGTAAGAAATATTGTATGGTTTGAAACAATCTTCAAGACAATGATATAAGTAGTGATCAATGTCTATATTAGAAGATGAGAAAGAAGTAATGAAATTAATACCTTACTGATCGAATGATTCAGTTTCTCTCTCATATGAGAAGTTTAATAGGATTCATAGATTCTCAATGGACTCTGATTTGTTCGTTTATATTACCTATATTGTAACCTTACATTTGAAGATTATAGTACAGCGGAACATGAAACAAATTCTGGTGTCCTCTCAAGTACTGATCCATTGTGAATGCGTTGCTACAATATAATGATCAATTAAATGTATTGATTGATGCAATTTCTCCTTCCTCTTCTTCTCTGAAACTTGTTCACCCTCTCTCTAGCAATTTGGTCAAAAACAATGATCACAATGATCAACCTTACGCAAGCATTGTGCTTCAACAGCGACAAAGGTAGAAAAACCTCTAGGCTTTATGACTAGGAAGGAGGCTTGTTGCACATATTAATGCATTCCTAAGGTTACGTTTCACAATCAATAAATAGTTCAAGGTTTATGCATCAACATGCTATTGGCTAATGGAAATTAACATTTTGAGGTGACAACCTGACTTTTCAACCCAACTTTCGAATAATTTAGTCTCAATAATGAAGAATTATTCTTCTTGACCAAGGCCACACTCCCTGCCAATGGAGGGGGACACCCCTCCCAACAAGAAAATTCAGGGCCCTAGCTAAGCAGCATGACTCCAATAATGAATGGGTTTGTGAAAATTATTATAGGACACAATTCCTAGAATAGGACTATCAAACAATTTTCATTAAAACCGCAAAAAATCACTGAACCTCCGAAGCAATGGGGTTGTTCCAGGAGGATCAACTTGCCATTGAGCACAATAATCTAGTGCGTGTTAGGAGTATGACTCAAATATGAGTCTTTTGAAGAGGCATATTCGACTTGAACTAGGAGAATATTAACATAGGGTTTAAGGAAACTAAGTTGAATAAAGAAACAAAATCCTGTTGAAATTGGGTCTCTTAATTGTAATATATTTTCTTGCCTTTTAGAACTCTTCTAGGGTTAGCCTATAAATACGAGGCTTCTCTGGTCAATTTGTAGAGAGAGTAACATAGAAGTAGTATTACTAGTTTGTCTTGTATTATCCATATTGTTGAATTAATAATCATCGTTCCTCTGCGTTAATTCATTTATGTTTTCTTTACTTTTAAACCTTGGTTTTCGTGGTGTAATCTAGTATACATGAATATTTTCCTTAAATCTCATTCTTTATAATCCGATTTGGAGTCAACGTGTGTTATTGAAGCTTTTGCCCCCAACGAGTGGTATTAAAGCTTAGTTCCTTTCGTAGATTGGTTGAGATTTTTTGGGGATGGTTGGGTTGAAGTATGATATTCCGTAACTAGATCGCAATACAAGATTTTCTTTGTGGCAAGTAAAGATGATGGCTGTTTTGACGCAATTGGATTTGGATGATGTGTTGTTGAGTTTTGAGAAGATGCCAGCCGATTGGACAATAGAGGAGAAAGAACGGAATGATCGAAAGGTTTGTGTCGTTGATTCATCTTCATTTATCCAACAATATTCTACAGGATGTCTTGAAGGAGAAGACGGCTGCTACTTTGTGGTTGAGACTAGAGTAGTTATGTATGACTAAAAGTCTTATTAGTAATTTGGCTTTTAAACAGAAGTTGTATTTTCATCGCATGGCGAAAGGAGGATTGTTGGAAGATCACATTGCCGTGTTCAAGAAAATAGTTGCAGAGCTGAAGACGTTGAAGGTTAAGTTCGATGAAGAGGATCTTCTCTTGATCCCGTTGTGTTCGCTGCCTAAGTATTATGCGTCGTTTCGGAATACTATCTTGTATAGTCGAGATACTTTGACTATAGAAGATGTATATGATGCTTTATACTCTAAGGAGAAAATGAAACATTTAGTTGGAGCTACATCAAGGGATGGGGAAGCTCTTGTATCTCACGGCGGTCGACAAAGAGGCCGATCGAGAGTTAGATTTAGCAACGTAACATGTTACTACTGCAAAAGGAAGGGACATATTCGGAAGGATTGCGATATGTTGCAGGCTAAAAGTGATTTAGCTGCAAATCATAAGGTACAACCTTTAAATTCAGACGAAACCAATGTAGTTGAGAATTGTTCGGGTAGCGAAGAGGTAATGTTGATCGTGGTATCTGATATGGAGTCTAGGTTTGATGAGGAGTGGATTCTTGATTCAGCATGTTGGCACCATATATGTTCCGATAGGAATTTATTTCAGACATACGAGGCTATTCAGCAAGGCGGAGTTATAATGGGAAACAACCAATCTTGCGGTATTGCTAGGATCGGTCGAATTAGATTGAGGCTGTGGAATGAAACATTTAGAACAATTGATCAAGTTCAACATATTCCTGACCTAAAAAGGAATCTCATTTCACTAAGTACCCTAGATGTAAAAGGGTATAAATTCTCTAGAGGAGGTGGAGTCTTGAAGGTCCGAAAAGGAGTCCGAGTTGTACTGGAGGGACGAAAAAGATCCCAGATGTACATTATGTAGGGGAGTGTAGAACCAATTAAGAGGAGAGATTTGGACAAGTTTAGTACCGTGGTGGAAGTTCAGTTTGGTACAGTATCTCTTGTGTTGGGTCGATTTAGAACAGTGCTAGGGAGAGCATTGGTGATTCCACTTTGGCACCAATTTCAACGAGTACACTGTGTTCAGTTGTTGGGGTAAGACTCATTGAGTATAGGTACCGTGGTGCCAGCAATGTCTGGAATGCTTCTAGGGACGTTGAAGGCGACAATTCCAGCAAGGGGCCTCCGTTCAAGCATTTGTTTTGGTTCTTGCTACAGGGTGTGCTTCGACCCTGTGTAATCAATATTAATTCTTTTGTGGAATTGGGAACCCTTGGGATTGGGTTCGGGTGTCGGTTGTGGATGCCGAGCAGAGGACGAGTGTTTGGTTTAGATGGAGTGGTTACTGTTTTGAGGAGATTCGGCCAATTAATTTCGATGCAGATGAATTTGAAATCTAGGAGTTTCGTTTGTTGCACCGAAATTTGAGTTAAAGTGGAGATTGTTAGGAGTATGACTCAAATAGAAGTCTTTTAAAGAGACGTATTCGACTTGAACTAGGAGAATATTAACATAGGGTTTAAGGAAACTAAGTTGAATAAGGAAACAAAATCCTGTTGAAATTGGGTCTCCTAATTGTAATATATTTTTTCTGCCTTTTAAGACTCTTCTAGGATTGACTTATAAATACGAGGCTCCTCTTATCAGTTTGTAGAGAGAGTAACATAGAAGCAGTATTGTTAGTCGGTCTTGTATTCTCCATACCATTGAATTAATAAACATCATTTCTCTGCGTTAAACCCTTTGTGTTTTCTTTACTTTTAAACCTTTGTTTTCGTGGTGTGATCTAGTATACTTAAATATTGTCATTAAATCTCGTTCTTTATAATCCGGTTTGGAGCCAACGTGTGTTATTGGAGCTTTCGCCCCCAACAGTACGATCAGTTATAACAGTATTCTGTTAAATCATATCGTGTGACGTGAGTTATTAAATAAAAAAAATTGCCATATTCATCTTATACTTTTGCTAAATGCACGCAAAGAAAATCAAACATAATGCAAGTGTTACATTCTCTCGACCACTTCAATTAAAATAGATAGTACTTCATACAAACTAATCATACATTCTTAATTGTTTTTTTTTTTTCCCAATAGCTTAGAATAAGAAATTCTTATAATTATTGATTATATTAAAATTGATTAATCAAATACTTTCCTCGCTCTATTAAACTCATTGCTACATTTTTGAATGATATATTTATTTGTATTCGGTAAATACGACACATGTGTATAAAAATAAAAAGGGAGTTTACTAGCATTCAATTACTCGAAACATTATGCACTCAGCTGCAAAAAATTTATTACTTTTTAACATAACTATATATGTATATGTATATTTAGAAATGATATTCTAAGTACCAATGACATAACACATCAATTACTTGGTGAATCATGTCATCAATGTCTAGTGCTTGAGAAATCATTTTCTATATATCTATGCATTTTATTTATATGTATATTATGAATTATAGATATGGTAGTATTACAATATTTCTTCGCAGTTAATGGAGGTGGCGCAGCCGGGGAAAACCTCTGAGGAAGAATTCCAACACCATACCTCTGATAAATAGCCACCATAAGTATCTGTCCCATTATGTTCTATCAGCTCTGGCAGCTCTATCTCAGCCCAGAAATCATCTCCTCTGCCGTCATGCAAAACTTCAACTTTTTCCGCCACCATCTTGGCCGCTAATGTCGCGGCGGCTTGAATATCCTTGGTCGTGCTAGTCAAGGGTCGGGGCAAGTGCTCAATTTCATTGGGAAAGTTGAGTTGAGCCTTGTGTCCTTTAAGACAATATGCAGCTACATCATATGCCCTAGCTGCCATTTCTGGAGCTGGGAAGGAACCTAGCCATATTCGAGTTTTTTTACGCGGTTCTCGAATTTCGGACACCCATTTCCCCCACCTTCTTCTACGAACACCATGGTAGACTGGATGCCGAGTTCCGCTACTTTGTTTAGTGCATTTTTCCACGGCGGAGGTGGTGGTGAAAGTGGTGGAGCTGTGAAGAGATGGTGTTATTTCATGTTCATGGCATGGTGGTGGTTGCTCCATTATACAAAAGAGTTGGCTTTTGGGTATGATACTTAAATATTTATGTCCATATTGGACCTACCAAAATTTTATGACCAATGTGCCCGTCCACAAATAAAATGCTACACATCACTAGTAGATATATAAGAATAATTTAATAAACATCGATGTGCATCTTATATTAAGCATCGGTAGCGTGTCATATAAATCTATTAGTAGATCTTTAATTAATCTAACTCAGATGTTGTAGCCCACCGTAAGTTTATTCACCAATGAATTTATATGACACGCCATCGGTGTTTAACCTAAAATAAGCATTGATGCTCATTAGATCATTTCCGAATAGATATATGTAACATTTTACTACCGCGAAGTCGGCATTAGTGTCGTTTTTGCCTCCACGTGCAAATCTATGGACCTGGCTTGGTTGTGATTAATATTGACAATGACAAAACTAACCCTTGATGTAGACTTGTTGGGTTGTCATTGGTCATTGCTTTAAAGTTTTCTGGTAAGAAAAGTTCACATGTAGAGGGCAACACGGGATGATTGTGACCATTTTTGTTTTTTGTAGGATGTTTTCACATATTATTTAGGGAAAATCAGAACCATTGATGGTGAAATGTGATAAAATTTGAAACAAAAAAGAGGGTTTTGCTGCACTTTGTTGCTGTTTTCCTTTCTTAGTGACCAGAATGAATGAATCTAATAAAAAGTTACAATAATTGGTCGTGAATTACGGTTTCTATACATTTTTCACATGAAAGTTTTACTATTCTAGTCAATTCTTAAATTATGATATGGAGAAAGTCACACTATCCAACAATGAATGCCAGTATGATCGGGGAAGGTGGCCCTAATTCAACATGTTTTGAGCTTCACCTAAACTATGCTTTTTATTAAATTCCATTTCTTTATATACCTAAACCAGAATTTGAGCGTGTAATACCAAGATGATTAGGACACCTGCAAGACCTCATATTGATTTTAGTGGGAGGATGTGTTTTGAAATTTTTATTTTTTTTGGATAATATGTTTTAAAAATTAAGAAAAAATAAAACTGGGCCGTATGTGTAAAATTATTTCATGGTAAAATATTTGGTTTAAAATAAATTTTGAAAAAAAAAATGAATTTTTGGAAAAATGGAGACCAAACATGGGCATAATCTGATGATCTTCGTAGTCCTAGTGCAATTGAATAAAAAGAGTAACAATGGGTTTGTGTGTAGTTGGTTGAGATGTAATAGACTAATAGTCAATATGCTCTTGTGATGGTAATCCTAAAATGGTATGCCCTTACTTTGTAGTCAGCTTATCTAACACGAGCTCGAGGTCACAGTCTTGTTCCTAGTGGAATCGCCATAAGCACAGGGTCATACCTCAAAGGTAGTTTCATTGACGCGTAAGCGGCGACTTCAGGTTAGAGGGTCCCCAAGGTTGGGGTATTTTTTTTGTTTTTTATTTTTTTTCCCATTAGGAAATAGTAGGAAAATTTTGGGCATATAAAGAAGAAACTCGAGTTCTTGATCTTATGATGCAAAGCTTGTTAGCTTTTTTATTATTACTATTATCAACCATATTGTAAATTAAAAATAATAATAATTTACTTGTAAATGAATGTTTTGATCTTTATTTTCCTTTTAATGTCATTTGAGTGATCCACCCTTATAATTTTTTATTTGAAAAGTATATTTGATTATACTCAAAGTAATAAAAAATAAGTTTGCCCAAAAAAAAAAAATGACGTAAAATGAAAAATAAATACTAAAGATGCAAGTGCCTTTCCAGTTAGAAATGTCCTCACTCATGAAATAGTATCAATCAAACTCCTTTTGTTTTTGTTACGTCTCTATCTATGATGCTGGCCACTTGGCAATTTAATTTAATATGTAAAAAGTGACGCTGAAGCGGACACTCCACTGTTCCTCACCTATTCTATAAGCCCTTTTTGATGCCCCGCCTAGAACAATTACTATACGAGGCGATGTATCATCCCCTGCAGTGCGTATTCAAGGTGATTGGCATCTGTTCCAAGCCTTGCCTCAACCAAGTTGCACAATGTGTACTGCACCGAGTAGAGTGATTGATGTGATGCTCTACAATGGCAACGCTCAATCAAATCACAACTTTTCAGCTTACGCTCAAGCTATGAAAGCCATATGTGTATGACAATTCAGCTTGATTAGTAAGTTGCTGGAGGAGGTTCTGTATCAAGCATCCAATGAGTCTTGATCACAAGCCCATGATGGTTATGAAGACACAAATTGAGCTTGACCAATAAGCCATTGGGATCAGGTCATATGTCAAACATTCCATGGACATCGGTTCGCTCCTTTGGCTATAACTTATCATGCCTAGTTACATCCAAAGGCAATGAAAAATTGAATGAAACTACAATTTTGTGAAATAGAATGTGATGTTCAAGTATGCAGATAACATACAAGTGAACAAGAGAGGAGCTGAGTTGTGTTGACAGTTGAGTCCTATCGAATTTGGAGGTCATCAACAATTTTCTCTTCCAATATTTAATACAATCATAAATTAGAATAAAATTTTTTAAAAGTAAGATGTTCTTTTAATAATTTTATAGAAGGGTGAAAATTTACTCATTGACATTTTTCAAAGAGGGACCATAGCAAGTTGATGGATTCTCATTTTTGCATTTATGGTGAGACCACAACTATTTATTAAATTTTACTTTACCCCCATATTTTATTCATTTTTTTTTCTTACTGTTACTAATTTCATAAATGACCTCGATAATCGTTGCACCTATCAATCAAGGTCCAATTGTACTTCAAATAGCAAGGATAATTTAGTAGATATATATTTAATCACCATAGAGGTGGATTTAAATCCATTTGAAATATAAAAATAATTAAAAACATATCCCATAATTACCATATTTCAATTGATAAGTTGGGCTAAAACTGCTCGAGGGAAACATGCTTGGGTAGTTACAGAAATACCTTTGATTTTGATGTTGTTGAGTTTTCTTTGTTTTATTACATATGAAATTTCATCTTTAGATTAATAATTTTGAGTTAGTATGTATTGAAATTCAGATTTTTATGAATTCAATTAAGTTAATATGCATGAAAAATCAATTTTGGATCAGTTCAAGCGATGCATGCAAGGTGTTTGTGAAAATGTAAATACAAATATAAGAATAAGAAAAGTATTCTCTATCACTTCTCTTAAAAATGTCGCAGTTTATCTCATTTGAACTTTTTGGATCATTAAAGAGATGCATACATGTGTGTTTATAAAAATTTAAATATGAATATGAATTCAAACCTTATTATAAATTAAAAGGTAAGATAATGTAACATTTTATTTGACCTTCTTACATGAATTAATAGGGTGAAATTTAAAAGTGACAGATTCTATCACTTTTTTAAAAGGAAAAAAAAGTCTCGCACTATTTCATGTATATTCTTTTTGCAGATATGGACAAAAGTAATGCCGTTATCTATTATGGAAAAAAAAAGTGAATATAAAAATAACAAAAAAAAAACGATTGAAATTGTTGTTCCAATAGAATGCGCATGCTACAGCCTTCGTTAAAATGTAAACATTGCCTTTTTTAAGAAGCTAAGTTTTGAATTTGTTAGAAAGAGACTAAATTGTCATTAATTTGAATTCTATCAATAAAATAACTGGTGTATCACTATATTTACATATAAGCTAAATTTTGCAATAATTTTTGGATAATTGGCACAAAACGTCTCTACATTTCAAGGTTTTTGTGAAAAACGTTCCTACCTTTCATTTTTTCGACAATTTCACCCTCATCTTTGCCTTTTATTGCGCAAAACGTCCCTACATCCACTCCCCGTTAAAATGCACTGTTAAATCAAAGAAAATGAGTTTTTTTATTTTCAAAAGGCAAGGGTAAAATTGTCCAAACACATTTGTTCTTCATTGAGGCTTCATTCCCACATTCTTCAAATGTTATGCGTAACTAAAAAGTAATATGAAAATAAATAAAATAATTTGTAAAGAAATATTTCATTCAATACATAAGGAAAAATGATACAAAGGATTATATTTATAGTTGAACTTCATCATGACTACTGTAATGTTTGATTGCTAAAAAAATTTTGGCAACGTATATGAAAAGAATGAATATGTGGTCGATAAAATTGAAATGTTCATCCCAATTTTGTGCTTACGAAGGGTGTAAATAAAGGGTAATGTGAGAAGATGAATTAAAATGTGATTATGTGAATGGACAATGCATAGAAATGGGGAAGATGAGGAAGATAAACGGGTACTCTTCCCAATTTAATGTGAAGTTGAACTTGTGGTAACAATCCCTATCTTTATATTGCCTTGCGCAAAACATTCATACATTTACATTGTTTTGCTAAAAACATCACTACCTTTATATTGTCTTTGCACAAAACATCCCTACCCTTTCATTGCATTTGCGCAAAACATCCCTACCTTTGTTAAAAATTGGGATAACCGTCCAAAATTTTCTTACCTTCGCTCGCTTCAAGAAGCCTCACTGCGTGCTTGTTTTGTGCGGCAACGGCGGTGACGATCGTAGAGGAGATGATGCTAAACGGAATGTACAAAACATGGGTTCCACTAGGTGAAGAAATCGCATCGTCTCCTTTGCTAGAGAATGGGTTGGTGCATAATGAAGGGGCGGGATTGAAGCTAGTGAAGAGAAATGTCTTTGGACGGGTTTTCACAATTTTTAACAAAGGTATGAATGTTTTGCGCAAATACAATGAAATGGTAGGGATGTTTTTTGCAAAACAATGTAAATGTAGGGATTTTTTGCGCAAAGACAATATAAAGATAAAGATTATTACAACAAGTTCAACTTCACATTAAATTGGGAAGAAGACCCATTTATCCTACTCATTTTCTCCATTTATATGTATTGTCCATTCACATAATCACATTTTAATTGATCTTCTCACTTTACCGTTTAGTTACACCCTTCGTAAGCACAAAATGGGGATGAACATTTCAATTTTATCGACTACATATTCACTCTTTCCATATACTTTGCCAAAAAAAATTTAACAATCAAGCATTACAGTAACCATAATGAAGTTTAACCATAAATATAATCCT